CCGGGGAGCCAGCAGTCAGAGAGGCGGCCTGCCCACCAATCCTGGCTCACTCCTGCTACAGCCTCCCACGTCTCTCTGCTTCCCAGCTCCCCTCTTCCTTTTGAAAATGTCCTCTTTTTTTTTTTTTGGAATAGTTATACCTGTACAAGGCAAAAAAAAAAAAGTTTTTAAAGGAAGCAAGTTTGTGCAATGCATCCTGACCCTGTGCTTCTAGTCTTTTTGTGTATGTTTCCAGGACATTTCACCGCCTATAGAATTCTCTTTCTAAAACTCGGGGAAAATGATGTCCACCTCTGCTCAAGACGTTCCACGGCTCCCATTTTTACAGAGCAAAGGTCTAAGGCCTTTGCAGCCCAGCCCCGGCCTCAGCAACACCCCTCCTGCTTCTCTCCCCACTGCCCTCCCTGCTCCCGAGTGGGTTCCATCTTCTCGCGCAGCCATGCCTTTGCCCTTGCTGTGCCAGCCTCCAGGAGTGGCCCTGTGCCCTCCACTAAAATCCCTTGTCATTGCTCAAGGCCAGCTTTCTCTGCTCCCTGGCCTCTGTGCCTCCTCCCCCAGCTCCCTCCCTAGCCATCCGCCCCATGCCAACCCTCTAGACTCTCCTGGTGCCCCCGCAGCTTTGGTGGTACCTTTATGCTGGTGCTTTTCATGTTTAACTTTCAGGAGGCTATCCCTGGAGTCTTGCATCTATACTCAATTATGAGTTTCTCAAAGGCCAGGCCAGGCGTCCTTAATTTTATTGCCACCTACCTCGATATCTTACACATAGTAGGGGCTTGAAATGTTTTATTTTTAAAAGACACTGAGCTTGCTTTTCTTTAGGGATTCAGCCAGCAGATGAGGGTTGAATCCTGACTTTCTCATTTCCTAGCTGTGTGTCCTTGAGAAAGTGAATCGACCTCTCTGAGCCTCCCTATTTCATCTGGAAAATAAAGTGAATAATAAAAGTTCCCTCCAAGAGTAACTGTGAGATAGCAGTACTAGCCTGAAGCAGAGAGCAGTTGACATGTTCTACTCATTAGTACTACTTACTCCACTCATTCATACTCATTAGTGTTACTTGACCTTGTCCTTGTCTCAGGTCACCTGCCTGGTCTGGGGCAGCGTTGGGACTTGACCCCCATTTTCTCCCCCTCCAGTGCTCCTTATTTCCCTCTGCTGAGTAAGGGTCACAGGCCACTGTCCCTGTTTCCTGATAGGAAGCACAAGGTTCAGAGAGGCTGATTGCTCACCCGGGATCACACAGCCCTGTGAGCAAAGCAAGGGTCAGGATGTTTGCCAGTTCCCCGGGGGCTCTCCAGGCCCCCACAAGCCCAGTGGGACCCACCATCCTGGCTGGGGTCCTGTTCTCCTCCTGGTACCCAAGGAATCAGCCAAGTGGGGCCCCCAGAGGCCTGGTGGCTTCCACAATTGGGAAAGTAACTAAAGCAAACAGCCCCCACTTATGGGGTTCCAGGAGTTGTGCTAAAGGCTCATGGGCACCATCTCCTTCAATCCTCACAGTGACCCTGTTATCCCATTTTCCTGGGGTGCTCATTCAGACTTCCTGGGCACAAGGCCTTGCTAAAGAGGGGAGGGGTTAAAGCCCTGAGCCCCACACCGACTACAGGGGCCAATGGGATTTTGCCCATGCTGGAGCAGCTCTGGGGCTGGACCTGGAGACCAGGTGCCCCCCAGGGTTGGGGTGCTTCCTGGGTCTCACAGAACATCTAGGGGGCCCTCCCCAACCCTGGCCCTGCAGAGCCTGTCCAACTGCATCTGGGAGCCACACCCAAACTCTTCCAAGCTCTGCCAGGGAGACTGGAAATTTCTGCTCAGCAGCTTCTCTGGGATGATTTCGACACTCAGCTCAGTGGGGGTCGGGGAGGAGGAGCCAGGCTGCTCAACAGGCTCAGCTTTCTCAAGCTCAGCTTGGTGGGGGAGGGGGGTGCAGGAAGGGGGGCCTTGCTGGGCCTCGGAGAGTCCCTCAGAAATAATAACAACCAACCAGCTCCAACAACAGTGACCACGTACTGAGAGCTTACTGTGTGCCAAGCCCTGCGCTAAGTGGAGACTTTCATGGCCTCATGGAACCTTCCAGTGTCCTGGCCAGGCTGGCACAATTACTAACCCATCTCACAGATGAGCAAAAAAGGCTCTGAGTGGTGAAAGCAGCGGCCGCAGGCCACAGAGCTGGGAGCTGAGGCCAGGCCGGTGACATCCCAGATCTCTAGGTCACTAACCGGCTGGGGGCTGGCAAAGCTGGAAGGGGCCAGGTGGTGGCTGAAGTGGGGGAAATGCTGAGGGTCCCTAAGGGAAACTCAAGTACACAGAAGACATCCATGACTTGCCCAGAAACTCTCGTCTAGGGGAAGGCATGCTGGCAACTGGGGTCCCTGTCAGCATGGAGGAGTGTCCTCCTGGGACACACTGGGTCCCCCTGGAGATCTCAAGGGGTCCGGAAACTTCTCTCTACTACTGGTCCTGGTAAACCAGTAACTCCAGATACATACTCTCACCCCCCAACACTCTTCATCCTTCCCCCCTCCCCGCACCCCTAGCCCGGTGGTTGTCTGGCTCTGCACGGTCAGATGGACAGGCATACCTAGTACCCTAGTGGGGCCCCTGGCAAAACGCCCCGCTCAAATTCAGCCCGTTGGCTAGGGCGCCTCTCCTGCGGGCCCGGCCCTCAGCCCCCAGGCCCGAAGTCAAACGGGGGGCGGGGGGGGGGGGGGAGGCGGTGTACGGCCACTCTCAGGCCTCAGGCAAAAGAGAGGAGGAGTGAATCAGATACCCCGGGGGCGGGGGCGGCTGAGCGACCCGCAGCAGCGATGACCCTCACTGGGCTCAGGTCCCCCACTGTTCGATGGGCACACGGGTCCCTTCCGTCCGGGGCAGGTGAGCGCCCACGGAGCTCGCTGGGGGCCAGAGGGGGCCACCCGAGGCCTCGCTCCCCGCTCCCGCGCGGCCCGCCACCCCCGCCCCCGGCCCGCGCTCCTCCCCCGCCCTGGGCCCGGCCGCCTAGGGCGAAGCGTGCAGGGCGCGGCGGCGGCGCGGGCCCAGGCGCCCAGTTCAGCGGAAAGGAATGTCTTGCTCGGCGGGGGAGGCCGCGGCCCCCGAGGCCGTGCAAACCCCGCCGCCCTCCCCGGGCCTCATTTATTGCGGCCCTAAAGCCCGGCTCGTTCCGCCGGCCGCGCCGCTCGCCGTTTCCCCGGGATGACTCACCCCCGCCCCCGCGCCCCGCCCGGCCGCCGCCGCCACCAGACCCCCGCCCCGCGCTCGCCCAAAAGCTGGGGGGGGTCCCCGGCTGGGTGAGTGGGGGGTGCGCGCCCCGCCCCCACGCCGCGGCGGCGCGCCCTCCCCCGCCCGCCCCGCCCCTCCCCTCCCTTCCCCTCCCCCGCCCCCTTCCCGCGCCGCCCGCCCGCCCGCTCCCTCCCCTCCCCCCCTCCATAACTCAAAAGCTTGTCAAGCTGGTTCCAGACTCCTGGCGCCGGGCTCCGCTCCAGGAAAGAAAAAAAGGAAAAAGAAAAAGGGAAAAAGCCGGCGCGAGGGAGCGAGAGGGAGAAAGGCCCGCGGAGCGAAACTCTGCGCCACTTGCGCGCCCAGCACAGCGGGGCCCCGACCCCCTCCGTCGCCTCTAACCCTAACGGGGAACCCCGCACCCCGGGGCAGAGGGCGCGTGCGCGGCGCAGATCCATTATTTATGGGCCAATCAATTATTTAGCCGTCCCGGGAAGAGAGGCGGCTGCCGAGACCACCCCGCCGGAGGTCGCGGCTCTCCCGCTGGGCCTCGGGGGTCGGGAAGCGTCCCCACGCCGGGGGTCCTGTTCGAGAAGGCTGCCTCGGGGTGGGCTCCGGGAGGAGCGCGGGGGAGCCTGCAGAAGCAGGACAGGCGGCTCAGAAACCTCCCAATGAGGCCGCGGAGGGGGTGTAGGGGCTGGCGGGGTGAGAAAGACCTGGCTGGGTGGGGGTGGTGGCGTGGGAAGAGCCTGGCCTGTGAATTCTTTCCTTCCTTACTTCATTCATTCCCATCTTTTTTGCGAGCCCTCTGCTGCCATGGAGCCCACAGAGAGGGCTGGGGTAGGAGAGGGTTAAGAACTGGAATTTGGAGTTAGAGCTGGGTCCAATTCCTTCTGTATCTTGTATTCACCCCTGCTGTGTCCCCTTAAGCTAAGGACTTGCCCTCTCTGAGCCTCCACTTCCTCTTGGGCGGGATGGTGAGGAGCAGCATGAGGGCTTGAAGGAGGTGATGTGAGGATTCAGGGAGATGGGGCAACTGGGCAGGGCCTGGCGTAGAGTCGGGATGGGGGTGGGTCCTCTTCTCACACTGAAGGAAAGATCCCTAGGTCCCGAGTATCCCTCCCTCTCCCCTAACCCTGTTTCTGGATAACCTGCATCCTCTCCTGGTCTGAGACATTTGAAGGTCATTATCAAAGGCACGTCAACCCCAAGGCCTCTGCCCAGGGCCCTCACCTCTGGCTGGCTTCTCACCAGCCTGGCCCTTCAAAGGCTAGTGCATCTGACAGCCAGAGGGGTCTGCCCCAGGCTCAATCTAATCCTCTTGTCTTCCCTCCTCTGCAGCCTCCTCCCTCCCCCACCCCCCATGTCCTCCATTCTGCTTCTAACTGGCCCCTCTCTGCTTCCAGTCTGGGCTGGAGAGGTTTGGCATCCTGAGGTCATGGAGGCAAGGGGCGGTCAGAATAGAAGTGGGGCTCGGCTCTCAGGAAAGTCCTGGCTCTCCAGGGGACAAACTTCTCTCCTATCCAGCGAGCTAGTATGTTCTCCTTCCAAGGCTCGGGAGCTAAGGACGCTTCCCGAGGGGCTCACTGTCTTGTCACCAGATCTTGCGACAACTGTATGAGGTGGGCCTCGGCGGATCCTGGTTTGCGGGGCCTAAAGCTTTTACAGTCTTGGGGACCCTCTTTAAAGAAAGTAATGCGAAGTTATGAATACACATTTAAACCCAGGGGCCTTGGCAGGGCCCAGGCCAACGAGAGTCCCTGGGGCTAAGGCATCCTTACCTTCTCGGTAAATCACCACCGCGGGCGGCTGGTGGCATTGGCGTCCCTTTGCAGAGGTGGAAATAAAGCTTAGGAAGGGGGAAGTTGCCCGCCCAAGGTCACACAGCTTGAAAGGATAAAGCTGAGCCCACAGGCAACACTGAACCGCCTCAGTGCAAATTCCACCTTACGGCCTCATCTACCACGTGTCCCCGCCCCAGCACAGACAGGGTCACGACCAGCCTGCGCCCCTCCCTCCCCAGGCCTTCATGCCCCAAGGCTCCAGCCTGGGAGACTTTCTGTCTTGTGACAACAACCACACAGTGCTAGGAGGTAGGTCTCCTCTGACCTTTTAAATTCCCACAGCTGTCCCTGCTCATTCCAGAACTCAGGCTTCTCAACTGACCCTTCGGGAACACCCCCTAGCAGGCGGCGAGCTCCCTGGGGGCAGGGGCCGGTTCTCTCTGGTTTGGCTTCACATTTCTGGGTCTGAGCTTCTGGTTCAGGAACATCTATTCCCAGCTTGAGGGGAGGGGAGGCAGAGGCAGTGAGAGGTTGTTCAATTGCACGTTCCTCTCCAGACCTACCGAATCAGGCTCTCTCAGCCCAGGGCCTGGGGCTCTGCATTTCACAGCTCCCTCCCGTAAAGCTCAGTAAAGTTTGAGACTCCCTGACTCAGGGGCCAGAAAGGGCAAAACATGGTATCTAGACCAAGCCCCTCTCACAAAGGGGATTCGCACCCCCAACTCCGGCTAATTTTTACCAGTGTACCAAACTCATCTTCCAGCTGAGAGCTAATTGTTTCTAACACTTATTAAAGACCTACTGCATGCCTGGGACTGGATCTGAGGCTTCAGATAGTTGACCTCATTGGACACTCAAAAAAAACCCTAAGAAGTCGGGACAGCTATTATCCCCATTTTTACAGGTGGAGAAACTGAGGCCTGGGGAGGCGAAGTGACTTGCAGGGGGACACAGCACTGGGGAATGAGGAGGCTAGAATAGGAACATAGTCTGCAGGACCAGGGACCTCAGGAATATAGCTTACAAGGGTCTTACGAGAATATCCAGAGATGAGAATTTATGCACCAGCCCAAGAACGGCTTGGAGAAATCAAACATGCTACAGTCACTATAGGAACCTCAAGCTAAGATATGCAATGAAATTAGGCCACAGACCCCAAAGAAATCTAATCAAGTAGGCCTCTCCCTGGTATCTCAGTCAGCTTTCTGGGGGGCGGGGGAGGGGGTGTATTTGTGAAAGGATTTGCTGTATTTGCTTCAGGCAAATCTTTGCCTTTCCTCTGCCTGCGGTTTTGGTACAAAAGGGAAGGATCCAGGCCAGCAAGAAGAGAGAACCAGGCTGGTGGTGGGCAGGTGGGCATTGCAGGCCAGCGAGGCTCCCTGGGCTTATCTGCGGGGCTGTTCTCACTTCGCTTCCCCAGAACCAGTACTCTGTGCTGATTTTTGCTCTAAGAGGCTGATGGAGGCACCAGGAAGGTTTCAGGTGGGGAGGGGCCAATTTAGTGGCTACTGCTCCTATTGCCTGAGGGGCCAGCCCGAGCAGAGGGTGTGGACTTGTTCTAGAAGGACCCCAAAGGCAGAACCAGTGGAGGCCACCGAGGGAGGTCGGTTTTGCCTCACAAGATAAACTAACCGGGCAGCCTTGTAGGTAATGAGTGACCCGCCTGGGGAGGTATTCAAGGACAGGCAGGGGTGTGTGGGGCTGTGTGTACAGAGCCATGACTCAGGAAAAGGATTGGATGAGGCAACTTTGAGATCTTTTTCAACACTGAGAGTGGGAATTTCCATTCCTAACATAACTGACCAACCCAAGTGGGACGGACGGGAAAAATTAACAGAGAAGGAAGGTGGCAGGGTAAAGTGCCCCGAGTAGGAACCCACAGACCCTGGAGAGGCACCCAGGTACGCTGAATCAAGACCCCGCCCTTGGCTTCCAACAGAACTGCCGTTTCTTGACACTCAAATGTCCTCTTGTCTCTTGCAATCATCTGTAAACGTCCATGAACCCTTCATTATAATGATTAATAATATATTACTGATGACTGATGATCAGTAACCGTAACACTTATAGCACGAATGGAGCAGTTCCTGAGACAGGCTCTCCTCTAAGTACTTTATAGGTATAAACGCACGTAACTGACATGATAGTCCTGTGAGCAACGGCTTTACTTCTACTATCATTCCCATTTTACAGATGAGGAAACTGAGGCTCAGAGAGCACCATGTGAAGTCCCAGGACTCAGAGCCAGGCTCAGGAGGGGAGCTGGGAAATGCTGGCAGAGGGCCGAGGAGTAACACCCTGCCCTCCCTGTGTGTCGCTGCTTCTGCCCTCAGTGGCCGGGGACTCTGGCCACGGTCAAGCACAGTGGCACAGAGTAGCAGAACACAGAATGACAGTGGGGGACGGGGCCATCTCCTCCAACTTCCTCATTTTACACCAGGGAAATAGGTATCAGAGAGGGGAAGAGACATCTCAAGGTCATCAGCAAGTCCAGTGGCCGCTGGGTCTCCTGAGTCCTCCCATGGGCTTCTCCTACTGCACTCTCACTTCCTACTCCTCTCTAAAAATGATATTTACGGGACGCCTGGGTGGCTCAGTCGGTTAAGTGTCTGCCTTTGGCTCAGGTCATGATCCCAGGGTCCTGGGATCAAGCCCCGCATCGGGCTTCCTGCCCCGCAGGGAGCCTGCTTCTCCCTCTGCCTCTGCCTCTCTCTGTCTCTCATGAATAAATAAATAAAATCTTTAATTAAAAAAATTTTTTTAAAAATTAAAATGATATTTACAAAAATCACCAGTAGGGGCACCTGGGTGGCTCGGTCAGTTGGACATCTGACTCTTGGTTTCGGCTCAGGTCATGATCTCAGAGTCCTGGGATTGAGCCCGACATTGTCGGGCTCTGCGCTCAGCAGGGAGTCTGCTTGCGATTCCCTTTCTCTCCCTCTCCCTCTGCCCCTCCCCTACTCGCACTCACTCTCTCTTCTCGCTCTGAAATAAATAAATAAATCTTAAAAAATATAAAATAAAAAATAAAAAAATAAGCGACACCTGGGTGGCTCAGTTAGTTAAGCGGCTGCCTTCGGCTCAGGTCATGATCCCAGGGTTCTGGGATGGAGCCCCACATCGGGCTCCCTGTTCAGTGTGGAGTCTGCTTTGCCCTCTCCCTCTGCCCCTCCTTCCTGCTTGTGCTGTCTTTCTCTCAAATAAAAAATATCTTAAAAAATAAATAAAATAAAATTTGAAAATCGTCAGTAGTAGCATATTACTAAGAAAACATTATTGGGGTGGCTGGGTAACTCAGTGGATTAAGCGACCACTCTTGGTTTTTGCGCTGGGCCTGGAGCCTGCTTAAGATTCTCTCTTCCGCTCCCCTCCCCCACTTCAAGCCCGTGTATGTGCTCTCTCTTTCTCTAACCACCCCCCAAAAAACATTGTTGTTTTTTTTTTAAAGATTTTATTTATTTATTTGAGAGAGAGAATGAGATAGAGAGAGCATGAGAGGGGGGAGGGTCAGAGGCAGAAGCAGGCTCCCCACTCAGCAGGGAGCCCGATGCGGGACTCGATCCCGGGACTCCAGGATCATGACCCGAGCCAAAGGCAGTCGCCCAACCAACTGAGCCACCCAGGCGTCCCCAAAAAAACATTGTTAAAGGAAGCAGAAGACCTGCCCCATGTGAAACAGTTACTACATGCCAGGTGATGTGTGCAGAGATTGTTTCCTTGCCTGCAAAATGGGAATCCTAACGATGTTCCCCGGCTTACCTCATAGGGAGGGGTCAGGGTTAAAGGTGGCGGTGGCTATGGAGCCACTTATAAACTGGAAGACACTGTCAACGTGATCATCTTTGACTGTTGGGCATAGGAATCAGAAGTACATGCTGCAGCTCCTCCTAGGGAAATCGAAATCAAATTTAGGGCTCAGAAACAATCAGTTCTTGCAGGGTTAGATCCTCCCTAGAAGGCACCCCAAGCCATTTACTCATCCATCCACCTGAGCCCATCCACCTGAGCATCACCTGGGTGCGGCAGCGTTTTCAGCCCAGCGGCCTTGAGCACAGGCTCTGGATCACTCTTCCTTGGCCCAAGTTCAAGTGTTGCTTCGCCATTTTCCTCTCGGAGCCTCAGGGTCTCTGTTAGGATGCAGCCCCGCTATTCTAGCAGAAACCAAGGAACCCGAGCTGGGGGAGAGAGGAGCTGATTCCCTTCATGTGTCAGCCTAAGGGGCTCTGCTCTGGGAGCTGGTCCAGGGCCCACGCTCCTTCTGTCTTTCCCATCCTGTGGGGGTTGCCTCCATCTGCAGGGTGGAAGATGGCCACCGTCTTCCCCTCCCCATTCTTCCCTGTGAGTGTTGGGAAGACCCAGGAGATGGAGACCACCCTTTACTTTTAAGGGCAAGCTGGAAGGGGCTTAAACACCTCTCTTGCGTCCCATTGGCCAGAATTGATCACGTGACCACACCTAGTTGCAAGGGAGACTGGGAAATGTAGTCTTTAGCCTGGCAGCCGTGGGCCTCTTTAAAACCCGGGTAGGGGATGTTCTATTACTAAAGGGGAGATGACAGAATGGATACTGGGCAACAGCCAGCAGTCTCTGCCATGTAGGATTCAAGGAGATACTCTGGGGAGACACTCAGCACAGGGCCAGATATATGGCCGGTGCTCAGGAACTATGTGCCATTACTGGTATTATAAGTGAGTCCTTTTCATTTTCCCAAGGGATACAGGGACCCTGGGATTTCTCGGGAGGCTTTGTGGGGGCCTCTATGCCATGCCCTCCGCCCTCTAGGTGATGAGGAGAAGCAGCGAGAGACAGCAAACCCCAGCCCACCACCTCAGAGCCCCACAGCCCCGGCTTGGGAGGATCTCAGGCCTCCTCTCTCCCTTCAAGGAAGAAACAGGAAAGCAGCTTTTACTTCAGGGCTTGGAGACAAGGAGAAATGACTGACATGGGGGGCCTTGCAGCCCTGCCCCACAGCTGCCTCCATGGAGGATGGCTACCTCTGTTGCTTCGTGGCTCAAGGCCAAGTCCACTCTGTAGTGCTCAGGCTCCCAGACACTGGTCCGGGTACCAGACAGACATTCTCGACCCTCCTAACATAGCACCAGCTGATCTGAGCTCGGAAGCATTCCCTCCCTAAATATTCTCCTCTGAACTCAGGGCCCTTTCCAGCCCAAGTAGGACTGACAGGTGACATGGGAAGGTGTGCACTGTGTCCCCACGGGTCCAGTTCCCCCCAGCCATTGAGCAGGAGGGTCTCTGATTCTGCAGACGCTGGGTTCAGGGTCAGGAGCTGAGACCCCAAGATCAGACAACCCTGACTCTGCCTCTTAGCAGCTGTGGTAACTGACCTTTCCGATTATAATGGGGATGATCGGGGCATCTCCATCTCCATCTTACTGTAAAGATTTATAGAATAATCCACGCAAGGCGTTTGTGGAAGGAAAGGGCTCACAGAATGACGCCTGCTCAGATCAGGATTATGCCTCTTATTTTCTTTCATGTGTTCCACGGTCCTGGACGCCTGCCACCTGTCCCTGCCTCCTGCGGTCCGCATCCTAAGCCTTTTCGGAGGCCCCCGATGGAACAGGTCCCCTGCGTATGCCCGCTTTGCACCCCAGTGTTCGCCTTCCCAGCACTTTCCACAGTCATGATGAATTAATTCTGTGGGTGGAGCGCTGCCCTCCAGACAAGGAGTCCTGAGCCAGCAGGGACTGTGACTATTTCATTCACTGCGGTAGCCCTGGTGCCCAGCACAGGGCTCGGTGCAAGGAGGATTCTAGGAAATGCTTGCGGAATGAATGAATGGGTAAATGCACGGGCGGATGGATGAGCGAGACGGTGTTTTGCTGTCAGCCCAAAAATGTGTATTTCAGAGCAGAGTTTAGAGACTTGGAAAGACTCCGATTTGAATATCAGCTCTGTCATTGACTTGCCAGGTGACCAGGAGCAAGACCCTGCTTCTTCTTCACTTGATCTCAAAATCCCCTGAACTGACCTTCTCTCCTCAACTACTGGAGAAGGTGAGAATGGCTGATAAAATCTTTCATTCATTCATGAACAGTGAATCCACAAATATTTTCTGAATGTCCCCTGGGTGCCAGGGCCCAGGGCTGGATGCTGGTGGCTGGGGACAGAAAGGAGGGCCCTGTACTGGAGGGGGAGTTTGGGGGTGGGAGAGACCCTCAGGTCCATCCTCTGCACAAAGGAAGTGGCTGAGGCCCTCTGCCCGCATCCTGTCCTCTTCCACCCCCCATGACCCGTCCATCTGTGTCCTTTTCCTGTGGCTCTTTCATCCTGGCCTGGGCAGGGGGCTCTGTGCCCCCACCCCCACTTACAACCATTTCCTGCCCTCCTGTCATCTGCTTCCTTTGATCCTTTTGTCGAAAGACTTCTGGAAGCCTCTGGACCATTGGCAACCTTGGCAACCTCCTCTCCTGGGCTGGGCCTGGCCTGCTGACCCCACAAGGGTGGGAGTCAAAGTGGGCTTCTCTTGGGATGCTGCCCTGGGAGGCAGATGGGTCCTGGTGTCATTCATT